AGAAGGATTACTGGGGGTTGCAGTGTACAGCGTTTCTACGACTTGCGATGTGGGGGTGTATGAGAATGATTCCTCGACTTGTCCATTATGCCAAGTGCAGGTAAAGGGTTCAACATTAGTCAATTCAGTATACACGGGGGATTCATTATTTTCTGATAAATCCATACTGGTGAAAAATAGCAATATATTTAAGGTCCGAATATTACACAGATGAGTTCAAAATTGCTATATTGGCACAGCGATCACAGCGTGTGCGAGTGATTATTCCTCAGTACACCTGCACGGGGTGCAGTGAACAATAGAGCACCTATACTAAAGTGTCCAGGTGTGGGTGAACGATGTCGTCACGGTATGTGAACACACTACGGACACACAAAGGAACTGTCCATATTCAGTTAAAACATACTTTTCAAAGTATTTTAGTCAATAGGAAGCTACTAATGCAATATACGTGTTATTAACATACACCTTACCAAATATTGTGGCGTTCCAGCCGGTATAAACGCTGTAGAAGAGTAATGAACACGGAGCATTGCGGGTTACGTCCAGCCGTCAAATTCCACCCATATCGTTATATCATAGGTCATTATTTGCATGTAGTCGCTTACTAAAAAAGCAATTAAGTGACTAGCGAATCAAATCAGGAGGGCGTCAACATACATATTACGTGCGTATGATCTGGCGGTCTACATGAAACTCAGATGGGCCTGGTTATCTTACTCCTGGCCGACGTATAAATTGTGGTGTAACTCGGTTTGCAAGAACTTGTAATTAGTAGAAGAAAGAAGACATCATGACCACAGCAGTTATATTCGGAAGCAGTTACATCGAGCGGCTTAGAAGATTCTGCGATGACAACCTTGAAACTCCGTGTACCACCGTACTCTGCGGCCGAGGAGGTCTACGCACGGACCGAAAGCTCCAACCTACTTTGAAAAAGGCATTGGCAGCAGCACCAGATATAGCATTCATAAACATTGGAGGAAATGACATAGAAGCAGAGTCAAAACCAAGGGACATTTTCAACAGGATTGTTTCGTTAGTTGAAATCTGCGCGGCTCCGGAACTACAAGAGTATTGATTACAGAAATCCTTCCTAGGGGCAGCTTCAAGGCACAAGGGCTCAACAAGACCGTTTTTGACAGGCAGAGAAACAAAATCAACGCTCTCCTACGTAAGAAATATATAATAAGTAAGACATGTCTTGTCCAGTGCATAAAATAATGGCTGTCTTACTGCTATTATACATTTTGTTTCGGTCAGCCATATTATTCAAATAATTTTTTGGTCTGTTTCGGGGTTTTTTCTATTCCGTTTTGTTTCTGTTCGGTTTAAACGGTCACACGCATTATTCACATGTGTTATTTCTTTTTCTGTTACGTTGCGGTTCCGTTTACGTCCGTTTTGGTCGCACACAGTGATAATATGTATATATTTAATACCCTTTAAAAAACTTCATATGTTTCTTTTATAAGATTCGATTATAAGTTGCAAGAACTTGTGCCCATTCCTTTTGCAATTATTTTTTAATAGAATATGTTTAAACTAAAATACGTTTCTGTTAAGCTAATTTTTGGTTCTGTTCGTTTTAATGGTTACACACATATATATGCATTATTCAAAAGTGTTTTAATTCGCTTTAAATAACATAATGTATTTCTTATTGGTGCCGTTTTGGTCCGTTTCGGTCACTCACCGTATTTAAACGTATTTGTTTTTCTTGTTTCGTTTTTGGTCCGTTTTGGCTAAACGCAGTGATCAAATGTATATTGAATATCCTTTAAAATAACTGCATATATTTTTTTTCTGTCGTTATACACGGTCAAACACATTATTCTCTTGGGTTTACTTCGCGTTAAATAACTTCAGATATTTCTTTTTTGTTACGATAAGGTTCCGTTTACGTCCGTTTCGGTCACAAAGACTGATGAAATGTATATTTGAAACAGGGATGGGATTTGGGCAGAGGCGTTACAACAAACACGTTCTTGGTTTCCATTCTTTTAATTATTCCATTTGTGGACATCAGACTAGCTGGAAGAATCTTACACCCTACAAGAACACAATAACGAACGTATAAGACAACATGCAGTAGACACCACCTTGTTACTAAAACATTACACTGTACCTATTACAAGGTTTCATATCATTATCTGTATAATTACATTTATCATTTATTATTAATCACATTTCATACTTATGATTTATTTCACAATATATTTACTGATTTCATTGACTTTATATAACAATGCTCATGGACAAAATAGACTTTATAACCTATTTAACTGGCTAATATATTACACATTACTTAGACCAATAACATATATCATTTGTAATATACATTGTTTATATTATATATAACTGTAATGAACTTACTCTATCAATGCGACAAGGGTTCCCACATAATCCTGATAATCCAGTATATATAACTGCAGGCGAATCTGAACAAATAACCAATGACTCTTTACACTACTTGCAAGAACAATTAATAGCTGTTACATCGTAGTATGTAATTGATTTAGTCTGATATATTTACATTATCATTAAAATAGAAATAGAAAGAAGTTATTCCAAATTTCCAAATATTCACAGAGCATATAGCCTGAACATTACTCAGTACATCAATAAAGTACACTATACTAGTTACTCAAAATATCTCATCCTAATTTGGAGAGTAAATACAATCTGTTTTACAGTTAGCTATTACATGAAAAGAGTATCTTCAAAATTACATTAATTTTGAACATATTAACTCCTACCTTTTACATATGGTCAATCCCTCCAACCTGTCTGCCAGAACTGATTTACACTCAGGTGAATTGCATGGGCAGGTAGGAAAGGTCACATGACCAACAGGTAAGTATGGGGTTACAGGTCACAAACAGGTCACAGGTTACAGAACAAAACATAAACAAAAGCACATGGCACTGAACAACTGACACATGGACAATGACACTGAACAAGACTAGATACTAAACACACAATACATGTACACCTGAACAAACAAGACATAATTACATATTAAACTCCACTAATATTACTTCATTCATCCGCCTTTCTTAAAACATTATAATTTAATTATTACACTATCCATAATACTTGGACAGGCTATCCCTGCCACATATTTAATACCCTTAAATGCGTTTCTTTTCGGTTCAGTTCTGGTTCTGTTTGCTTTAAACGGTCAAATATTCAAAAGTGTTTTCTGTTTTCAAATGAATTCAATTCGCTTGGAATAATCGTATGCCTTTCGTTTCGGTCTCGTCGTGACAATTGTTTTATTCTCATAAACAATACAGTGTAGAGAATACATACATGGTGGAACAGGATGGACATTAGTATTGTAAATGAATTATGTCATTAATATCGGTAATAAATTTAGCCAATGATGTCAATTCATGTTGTGTTACATAATTGAATAATGCATGATATCTAAATGTGCCATAATTTCACATTCTCTAGACAAAATTAAAAAAAAAGAAGAGGGAAAAGAAGACTAACCCATTTTCAAAAATTCGGTACACAAATAGAACACAATTATGTTGAAAATGTTGATATAATTATCCATTTATAAATCTTAGAACCATTTACACAAAATTTAACAGTGTGTCTATACCGTCACAAGTATTTTTTTATGCTGAGATAAGTATGGATTGCTCATTTAAATGGACAACTTCATCAATATTTTAAGCGTTGAATAAATTGAAAATAAATTCAAAATGAGCCAAGAAATCCAACGGAGAAAAAAAATTAAAAGGGGGAAATTAACGTTACGTATCAAGACATGTGATGTCTGGTCACTGCATTATGATATAATTGCCTTTCTAATGTATGAACATCTAGTCATGTGCTTGTATTTATATAACATAGATGCATGCATTATTGTATGTATTTGGCATATATAATATACACAATATATAGGCCTACAAGACAAATAAAGAAACACTGCTCAAATTTACAACAACAAAAAAACATTTACAATTTCGTTTCGGTTCCGATCGGGGCCCGTTTTGTTCACACACAATTTAAACTGTATTGAATTCCCTTTAAATAGCTTATGGTTTCCATTTCGACTCCGTTTCGGTTTAGTTTCGGTCCGTTTCGGTCCGTTTCGGTGATTCGTTGCACCGCTTCAAACAAAATTACCTCAATTTTGCCAGCCGCTGGTAGGGGCTGGGTTCCTCACCTTTCTAGTTTTATTTATTAAAAAAAACAAAAATGATAGACGTGCCCACCACCTTTGGTTCTACCATACTAACTTCCGATTCAGCTGACCACCCCGATATGTGAGTCAGTAAGTGTCTGGCTCGCGAGGGCGACACATCCCCTTCTCTATTTCTCTTCCGAGGTAACACACCATTGCGAACACCTAGAATACTTAAGAGGGAACACCGGATAGTCTGGTAAATATTTATAAGTTTAAAGGTCTTTTATCATTATGCAATCAACGAGTTCTGACAGGTTTATCTATTTTCTGTATACAAATATGTATATTGTACTTCATTTTCCATATCTGCAACTTTATTTCCTCATGTAACACATATTATGTGTCTGAGTGTCAATACAATTTTGCTTGTATACATGCATGCACCTGTCCATCCTGTCAAAATTTAATATATGAATTCATGTACATGTACCTCATGTTACACATTTCCATGTGTCTGAGTGTTGGAAATAAAATCTACAAGAATCTACAAGGTAAGCATATTGTGCGTGTGCGCGTTTGTAAAGTCATGTCCTACTTTCGGTTTCCATGTATATTGTCCGTGTTAAAGTCGATTTCATTGTTCAGGATGTAAGAGTGTGTTTGTATGTTTACAGGTTTTTTGTATGTATAATAAAAGAACGGGACACCACGAGACGTCTTATCGTTTGTGAATACGACCCTGTGTGATATATGAATTACCGATTTTTAATTGGGATGACTCACCAGGATATGGTTGACATTATGTCACTGTGATGACGCAACAAATCCTCAGAGATCAAGTCCAGTCAAGATAAATATTTTTCTTTAAATATCACGTCTGTGAGGTGTTTACATATTTGAGTTGTTTATAAACCAACAACTCAAATATGTTGAATGCATTCATAGCCTTTACGCATTCAGATATACAGGTGTGAAAATATAGGTTCGATTTAGAGGTTATATCTGAAGACGCTTCAGGATCTCTAGAGTACCTGTACAGGTTAGTACACACAGGTGCCACGCCGCCGATCGTAAAATTCAATTATCATAACTCGGATAACATAGATATCGTTATAGTCCTAATTATTCTGACGTTTTATCGACTTTTTTCATATCGGTCTGTCGTCGATTAACATCAGAACTCCGGCCCTCTATAATATGCGGGAAATATGCGACCCGCGCCCGGAGCGCACTTCAAACTGATATTTTAGAAACAAATCGTCACTTTACACACATGTCGCACACGGATCGAAAGATCTATTCTTTATGTACTAGGTGGTATCAATAACATGTTTCAAAGACCATTACGAAAAGCATTTTCCAACGTTTTCTATACCATCCCATGTTTTTTATGGAAATTAGGCCATGAGAAATGTCACATGACTTGACGAGATCTCGCGTTACCGAAGGTATTTCCCAACGTTATGACGTAGGCCGGCGAGATTTTAGTCACGTGGCATTGGAAGGCGGGGCTATCAAAAAACTAGAGTAAAACAGAGTAAGTTTGAACAAATATGTTTTTAGTGATTGTATTAGTTGTTTGAGGCATGTTATGTATGTTCATCTTGTGCATAAAGAATAGATCTTTCGATCCATGTGCGACATGTGTGTGAAAGTAACGATTTGTTTCTAAAATATCAGTTTGAAGTGCGCTCCGGGCGCGGGTCGCATATTTCCCGCATATTATAGAGGGCCGGAGTTCTGACGTTAATCGACGACAGACCGATATGAAAAAAGTTAATAAAAGGTCAGAATAATTCGGACTAATATTGTTGTAACATCCTTTTTTTTTGGCCAAGCCTGGACGGCAACTGCCTTGATCGCGTACTTTATCCCTCAGGCCTTGGTGTTTACGTTGCATCGTCGAATCAGGAATCTACGCTGTGCAGTACACCAGATATACCAGACACGGTAGTCTAGTGGTAGGACGCGGGGCTCGTAAACGAAGTGTTGCGGGTTCGAGTCATGGCACGGCACTGTGTTGTATCATTGAGCAAGATACTTTACTCCGCTTGTTCCAGTCTTCTCAGCTGTAAATAAGTATGTGGCTGGGCAGTGCTAGAGTTGTTGAATGCTAGCTGTCAGCGCCGAAATGGCAGCACTGGCTGTATGCTCCCCAGGGAGTTGAGAAAGGTATTGGCTGGTTGCAAAGGCCCTATAACCAGTATTAACCACGTATACTAATGTGTGAACCGCTTGAGACGACTTACGAACTAGGTTGTGATAAAGCGGTATATAAGAACCTCAAATAATAATTATTATTATTATTATTAGGTATAGCTATTAATACTCGTGCTGAAGTTGACCAAATCTGCTCAAAGAACAGCTTAAATCTCTGGAGGACAACAGGTATGGAATCATGAGGAAGGTTGTCGGCACCATACTGAATGACAAATCATGTCAAACTTGAGCACTAACTCTTCCATCATGTCTGACATTTCCTCAATATTATAGCCGCTTCTAGAGATAACAAATATCCCATCACCTGGATGCAAGTACTTATGGAGGTACAAGCACTCAGTCTATAAATGACAAGCTCGGATAGTAGACATGATAAGAGCTAGGTTTAAAACACATACGGAAAAGAAAAACATCATCCCCTTTATATAATAAATTATTATCTTATAAATAATTCCGTTATTGAGTTATGAAAATATACCTGGGTCTGGTTTTTGGCCTGGGTCTGGCTAGCTGCGGGAACCGTAGCTTCTAGGCCCGATCATTTTATTTTATTTGTTTTATTGTTATCGAACCATAGATAGTCCAATAACAATAAAAAAAAAATCATGCCTAGAAGCTACGATTTCGGCAGCAAGGGCCTGAATTGACAGGGATATGGAGAACTGAACCGACCGGTTTTATAACAGAAATAAGCATGATTAATTTTGTAATATTATACAGTTTATGTATGGGCTTGAGGGGTAAACCAAGATTCCAGTTCTCAGAGACAACAGTACAAGTTTATGTTAATCCCCACAGCGAAGTCAAGGAAAATGGATCTGGTTGAGGGGTACCAGAACTTGCTATATCCTGAAATCCCGAAACCTAACTGTTTTATTACACCAAAACAAAATGCAGATATATTTTTCTTATTTAAAAACAAATATTTCAAACTTCTCGACTCTATCAATGAAATTATTTATGCGGAAGAGTCTCGCAATCAACATTTAATTATGTTGGGTCTAGATCTGTTGAGTACAAGCTTTGCCAACTTCTCACATTTCTGACTCGGTCATTTAGGCAAGGAAATAACAGAAAATGATGAGGGAGTTAGTCTGCAGGGGTGTTTTAGTTTTCGAACTATCACGTAGAGAACTAACTACATGAAAATAAGATATATAATGAATTTAATACATGTATTTGATATAGAGTTGATTTCAAAGTAGAAACAACATATATTGTTACAAAGGTTACATTCTAAGGATTAAATTATATATTGTCAAAAATAAGTCTCACTCATCATCATCAGCAGCTGCCCGATTTGACATATTTCTATGTATGTAACATGCCTAGCCAGAGTTGCATATAGATATCTAGGTCTCAAGAGATTATATATTGTTGGTGTATCCTGTTGACAGTTCATGCATACATACTTAACCTGGACACCATATTGTAGTTATCGGGTGGATATAACGCACTTGCCTTTCACCAAGGCAGCTGGGGTGTGATGCCCCATCGGACATAAAAAGGTAGGTGGATCACCAGCTGTCTCGTTCAACCAGACGCTTGATCACTTGTAATTCAAGAGTCGGGTCAAACACAGTACTTTAGAATTACCATCACCAGAGGGCAGTGTTTTTACTTTCGTTTCTGGACGTTATGTCAACGCCGTTAAAACATTTCAAAGAATAAGGACATTAAAAAAAAACTTACCTGTACATGCATTCCTGAAGTATCCGTGTATACACTATTATCGAGAAAAAATTAAGAAAATGTCAATTCTCCAGAATAATGCCATATATTTCCACTGAATAAATCATAACTGAGCACAAAGCCAACAAGGCTGACTGAAGTTGGAAAAAAGCATGCAAAGCAAGTGAGATTTTACCTGTACCCAATTCAAAACACTACAGGTTCTCACTCAGGTAATCTGACTTGTCTTGTATCAATAGCCTTGTTAGCTTTAAGAATTATTGTAAATTATCTAATGAAAATACATGAAATCATTCTTTTTGAAGCATTTTCTTACATTTTTCTCGTTAATAGTGAAATCATGGATAGTTCAGGAATGCATGTACGGGTATGTTTTTCATATTCAATGAAATTTTGCGCCACTCAAGTTTTGACGACAAAAGTTGAAAAGGGTGTGTCAACCTTTGACCAGTGAAATAATTTACCAGAATTCTGGTCAGCCTCGTTATGATGTCACAAAACGAAAGCATTGGGTTTGACCAGACTCACTGTTCGGCGTAGCTTACGCAGGCAACAAGAGTTCTTGAACGAGACAGTCGCAGACTATGAATTTCGGTGATACAATTTTACAATTTAGGCCAAAAAAAAGAGATGTCTGTTCCCGACCAACCCTAGCTTTTTACCCCCGACCCAAAACTTTTTGATGAAAAAACCCCCCCAAAAACACCACAAAACTTGTGTTTTAAAAAGACTCCTGATTTTCGATTTTTTTTTGTAACCTGTAATATCCCCTCCATAAAAGGCTCACGATATAGTCGTGGTAAAACAAAACTTAAAATCAAACTTTACTATGCACCATAAACGGGACCTGTATTACCGGAAGTGAATAAAATACAAATGGATTACACTAAAGTCCGGAAGAAAATATTTACCTGACCAGAATATAGCGGAATTGACCTGAATATGTTTCAAACCTGGTCGAGGGGTTCCAGAAACTTATAATGTGAAATTAATATACTGATGCATATAAACGGGTTGTCGAATGTTTAACGTCCTATTAACAGCTAAGGTAATTTAAGGACGTGCCTCTATGTGTGTTGTGTATGCGTGCATGCATGTATGTGTGCCGGAGACAGGGTATGTTAGTTCTAGACCTAGTGACGTGACCTGGTCGTTGTACAGTGGGTGCTAAACGGTGCATCAAATCAAACTCCTGAAAGGTAAATATTGTAGTTATTGAACAAAACAAATCATTATCTGTATATCGAATCGACAAATGAAATAGAGCAGTAATTGAATAATAATATATAGTACAATATATTGTATACGGTATTATATGATCATACAAAGGAGTTTTGTAATATTTAATATAATACTTATTGTACAAAATGTATAATATACATAATGTAATAGCATGTCAAAATAATAATAACTATAACAATTCGAGATTCTTATAACCTAGTTCGTAGGTCGTCTCAAAGTGGTTCACAAATTACTATCCGTGGTTATATGGCCTTTTCAACCAGCCAATACCTGTCTCAACTCCCTGGGGAGCATACAGCCGGAGCTGCCATTTCGGCGCTAACAGCTAGGATTCAACAATTCTAGCACTGCCCAACCACGTACTCATTTACAGCTGAGAAGACTGGAACAAGCGGAGTAAAGTATCTTGCTCAAAGATACAACACATTGCCGTGCCGTGGCGCGAACCCGCAACCCTTCGGTCACGAGCCCGGTGTCCTACCACTGAACTACTGTGCCTCCTAACCAAGATACCAACTTGTTGTAGATTCTGCTGTTGGATTTCTTTGCCCCCAAGGTTTGCCTTGCAAACCACTCTCGATAATCCAGGGCCTTGGATGTGCCATGAAAAAATCGAAGGCTCAGTGTGCACCAGCTTGTGCATTTAATGTACATCAAAAGAATCTCTCGATCGCGTAACGGTACAAATGACTGACTTTGAAGTCGGGTATCTCTCCCGAGTCTGTAATTTTCAAAGGCCAAAGTATCAGCCCAGCATTTTGTCAGGTTGTTTTTACCCGAGGCCAATCAAATATATAGCCGCATGCCTTCAATTTTGCTATGACATATTCCAGGGTGCAGAGAGCGAAAGTGAGCGTAACCCCTGGATATCGATCGAGGATGGTCGTGATTACCTTGATTGACCCAACTATCTCCTTTAAGTAGTGGTACGGTTCGTTATGTACACATTTCACTCATTATTAAATTTTAAATTAACCAATAACTCCTCTCATTTTTTGAAAATTCATATTATGCGGTTTTCGATCGCTTTCCCCGTCTGATCCAAGAATATAGTTTGGACCTATGTGGATTTCCATTGTTTTGGCCCCCAGCATCACCAATGAATTCGATAAGGTCTCAACAGCTGTATGGAGCTGTGCAACTCATTTTTGGCACCCTGTACATATAAACAAATGTTATAGGTGCAATTACGTTTGTATGTCCTAGTTAATCTTTCACTTTCACGAAATCACTTTCATACCCTTTTGGTCCGTCCATCTAGTTCAGTTTGCTTGCTAAACGATCCCGCTTTTCTTCGAAAGTTCTTCGTAGCCTCCTAACTTGACTTCCCATTTTGAACTAGAATTTATCTTCTTACCATAAATACATACGTTAAAGGTTTTCGTCTTGTCTTTATCGCAACTTGCTTATGCATCAGTCATACCATGCATGATTCCCGGGGCGTTCCCTCTCACAAATGTCTGCTCATCTTGTAACAACTTTGCTGTCAGGAATAGCAAATTTTCTGGTGCACAAGATTATTTGTTCTATGCACCAATTCACTTTGGACTACTCATGGTTATCTGGAATCTATCATGGAATAACATTAGCCGGGACTTCCAAAACGATATAATCTCGTCGGAATAATCTCGTGACGTCTAGAAATAGCAAAACAAATGTGTAATATTTTCCATAAAAAAAAGTCCATCGCTGATGCAAGTTTTATTTTTTCAGTCAGTTTCGGTTCGTTCTAAACCGTTGGTAATATCTTCCTGTACATTCTTTGTCTGTATCATCAACGGCACTAGCTACATCTTCATCTGTGTTTTTATCTTTTTGAAGATATTCATTTGTGTTTATAGATTCAATATGATGAATAGTATCTTAAGCAATATTTGAAACTTTGACATAAGGACGGTCCTTTGCAGTAGTGTTGTATATCTGGAGACGCGTATCTGTTCCTCTTTTTCCTTTACCTTTGCATTTCTATCCCGTTGCTTACAAATTTCTTGTTTATTATCTCTGTGATTTATATTAGATTCAATCTGTTGGGAAAATGTAAGTGGCTGCTCACAGTGTTCTTCAACGAGATGTGTTATTATCCTTGTAAATGTGCACTTATACGTTATTAAATCTGGAAAAGAAAAAGAAAAAGGACTGTTAATCTTTGCACCTATATGTAAATGAGGTTTTATGTAACGTTGGTTCGTGCTATAATGAAATATATTAGAAGACACACATTTTCCGGTACGTGTTACTATTTTTAGAAACAGCAGGTTAATATATATATTTCGCTTTATGGCGTCATTTCAATTGTAACGTCACAATGCTCTCTGCCAAATGCAGTACTTTCCTCCGTACAAATTTCACATAGCAACTTATGTTACGGTCAAAAAATTAAAACGCACCTTGGAATGGTCACGGTACCTATAGATATTAATGAAAACAGTCAACCTCCTAAAAACTCTAAACGGTAAGAAGATATGAGTGTTAATGTGAGGATACCAAAAACAAATTGATACCCAAAATAGAACACTTTTCATATAATTACAGTTTGAGTGAGTGGTGTCAAAATCAATATATCTTGATTAGAACAATTTTATCCGCTTATAATTTTAGTTGCTCAATTAAAAAGAATGAAAATGATTTTATGGAATAGTCCGTACTTAAATTATTCTAAGGAATACTTTGATGAATAAATTATTAAGTATATTTATCACAAAATGTCAAAACTTACTCGAAATGAAGAAAAATAAATAAATGCTTTCAATTATTTCCATAAGATAAACTGAATTTGAGAGACGCTGATTTCTATGAAATGCACTTAAATGAAAGCTAAAGGATGCATATATTCCATTGGAGGAAAACAAATATATGTTCCAATAACTATATAGGAAATGTTAATAATTTTCTTTAAATAGTGTTCCATTTAGGTTTGGTTTTGGATCAGCGACTGATTTGCAGCTGCATCAGTGGATGATGAGCTATTCGAATGCACCGTTGACAGGAAGTGGACGTCGGAGCTGCGTAGTATTTACTTCCGGTGCCGGGAACCCCACGCGCAGAAATTGTGATACTCCGTAATTTTTATATATTTATCATAATATCTGACAATCATGGTGACCATTGAACAACTTTACAAAGATTTTGGGGTTCTTGCAGACGCTAAGGATAAGGCAGGAGAGGTTTGTGTTTCTGTTGAACTGTTTAGAGGCTTAGAGTGCAAACGTCATCAAAATCAATTTTGTAAATTTGCAGTGAAAGTGACAGTGCCCATTATTAAAACTGCGTTGATTTTGCCTTAAGGCTGAACAAGTTCTTTAAATTTGTCGACTGAAAGCAAATACTTCCGTATTATAGGTCATATAAATAACAGATATATTGGTATTAATCCAAATATTCAACTGTTCTCGATCAGATTGAGTGAATTACTATATCCATACTGCAATACCCAATGCGAGGGTTATGTGCAGCGTGCGCGTCTGTGCATGCTAGAAGATAGTATATTGGGCATGAAAAGAAAAGTGTGGACCAGTGAAGTAGTGGTATGAACAGGTTGGACACAACGGCACATATGAAAACACAAAGTTCTTTTTACACATTATAAACAAAAATGGCGTCATTCTTTCAACATAATCAAATAAAAAGTACAACGAGATACAATTGTGCATAAAAGTGTGTTTATTCAGTTATCTGGATGTGAACGTAACAAATTGTATCACCTCCACAGAAAAAAACATGCTTACCTGTCACATTTGCACTGAATGGTCCCATTGCCCAGATTGGGCACAACAGCGCATATAGGTAATAATCCCGCATTTGGGTAAAATCTTTGTATGTTATGGTTGAATGCACTTCAAATATACTTTCACTATCCTATATAAAAAAAATCAAAATTTTGTACTTCACTTACGTTATTGAAAATCGTCACATCTATTGGTTACTGCAAACAACTTTTGGTTGAACAGTTTTTGGTTTTGAAAGTATTTCACGAACTTTGAAGCCTTAGAAAAGTCGGGAATCTAAAATCATGAAAATGTCAAAACACGAAAAAACGTTCAACCAAAAGTTGTTTATAATAACCATATAAATAGCGATTTTTAATAAAGATAGTGAAGTACAAAATTTTCAATTTTTATATAGGATAGTGAAAGTAGATTCGAAGTGCATTCAACCATAACATACAAAGATGTTACCCAAATGCAGGATTATTACCCATATGCGCCATTGTCCCCAACCTGTACACTGTACACATTCAAGTCAATGCAGAACAAAGTCAATGATATGGTTTGTCCTTTTCACAAAAAGTAAGATGTCAGAATTGATAATTTTTTGTGCACAAATGTACTTCATTGTGTTATCTTTTGGATTTAGGTGAAAGAAAAACACCCTTTTTTGCTCCAAGTGTTTAATGTGTTTTTGTTTCACTTTATTCCCCATTTCCGTAATAAAATTGTTACTGAAATGGGTAATTGTTGCCCAAATGCAGGATTATTACCCATATGCGCTGTTGTGCCCAACCTGATGAATATACTTAACTTCATAAGATCATAAAAAGATAAGGTTCAGTGAAATAAAAAAGCCACAAGAACATGGTGTTATTAAAAGAGTGCATTATAATCAGGATAAATAATGGCTCTTTTAGAAAATAACAAAGTGTATTGGAGTGTTCATGGTGGGGGTTGAGAGTAGGGCTAGAGTGATCGATCAACTTTTTTCTGTACTTTGTTTTTCTGGTTGCAAAATGATTCACCTCAATAAAAATGATCATATCATGAGAAGTGTTAAGTAAAAACATTTAGGCTTATGTACGAAGTGCATATATATGTTTACCAGTAATTTTGATTTTAGACATGGGTATATATTATATGCATTATACTGAACAATTATCAAGGACCAAATTACCCCATCTTATTCCTTTTGTGTTTGTTTTTTTCAATTCAAGTTCCATAATCAGGTATTTTTTCTGTTTCAACTAAACATACAATACAGTTATTGGCTCAACTGACACTGGCCTAGTTAAAAGGCTAACAAATAACGTTTGTTCGGTGGAAGTATTAATACTTATAGCTGCAGTTTCTGTAAAAAAAGACACACAAAGCCTAATATCTACAATTTTAATATATTTTAGGCTGTATTATTGATTACACAATAGCTTAAATATCGCAAATTTGTAAAACATTCAATTTTCAGTATTTTCTCCGTAGTTAATATCAATGGACTTTTCTTTTTGTTACAGTGTATGGTATATATATATATATATTATGAGATTTATGACATTTACTTCATATTAATTTTGTTTCAGCATGAGAAGGAATATGAATCTATTCTAAGCGCTGTGAGTGGGGGATCGTCCGAGAAGAGACTTGCCTCACAGTTCATCGTCCGATTCTTCAAACACTTCCCAAAGCTGGAACATACTGCCATCAATGCTCTATTTGATTTGTGTGAAGATGATGATATCATGGTAAATACATGTATAAAAAGAAACGTTTAGTACTCTACTCAGTATATTTATAAAACAATCTACTACAAGTTCTGATTTGGTAAGCTGTGATATCTGAAACCGAAATGGCAGACCACAGGTGTCCAATCTTGGTCTATGTCAAGTGAAACAGAAGACTCATATCGGGTGATAATCTTCCCCCCTTCTTTTGACATTTTTGTCTCGCTGCCACGAAGTGGAAGCGATACATAGGTGTTGCCTTTTCCGGCAACGGCGGCGTCAACATTAAGTTTATGTGTTAAAGTTAGTTTCTCTGAAAGTATAAGTGCTAGACCAACCTAACTCGGATCATAGATGCATCTTAGGTATCTCAAATGGTGGATGTGGCCTACCTTAAATGGTCCATTGACTTAGTCAGCATCTCCATCAACATTTTTTCTTGCGTTTAAGTTAGTTTCTCTGATATGTGCATTGATGGACAAAGCGGGGCATAGGTGAGACATCAATCCGAATGGCACAGTCCGCCTGGGCTTATCATTGGTAAAATACAATAAAAACCTTACCGAATATGTGTAAAAAAATCTTCAAAGACTTGATAAGTATGAACTGTTTAACTGATTTCTTTAAGTGCTAATTATATTATACATGTATAAGTGAAAAAACCCAGTAAATTTTTGCATGTGGGCCCCTGTAATAAATTGCTAAGCATACTCAAGATTACTTACAAAAGAAAATATATGTAGATATAGTAGAAATTTCTTTTAATCTGTCTGTAGTTTAGTACTGTAAATGAGAAGTTTACCCCACCCCAGTCAAAAATCTTATGTTCATTTATAAATATTTCCTTCAAATTCACTAAAATGATCCTTTCATTTGTGGCTTTCAAAGGCAAGTAGTTATATTTGTAAAATTGATGAGATATGTACTGAATTAATTGCAACATCAATATTTTTTTAAGATCCGGAAACAAGCCATCAAGGACCTCCCGACCATATGTAGAGTTGCCACAGAACACGTCCCTAAGATCTCCGAGGCCCTTGCCCAGTTGCTACAGTGTGATGATGCCACGGAACTCAGTCTTGTCCAATCTTCCCTTGTCAGTCTTCTAAAAGTAAACACCAAAGGTGAGCACAATATGCAAATATGACTTGTTGATTTCTTTTTCTTTAAGCAGTCTGTAGTTTAATTGTTGAAAATTTAAATTTAATTTCAAAACGCTACACATCAGACTATTTACGCACAGGCTTAGATTTTCACAATTTTTACCCCAGATTAGAAAATTTAATTGACATGGTTAAAATTTCCCCATCTTGACATGTAAAGGAACTGAATTTTCACTGATTTAAAGTGTCAAATAGTTCAATAGATAAGCTTTATTATAGCATTTAGAGCAACAACAAAAAGTAGGTGTATTTTTAGGTCACCTGAGACAAAGTCTGAGGGGGCCTGAGGGGCGGGGCCAAAAAGGGTTGAATTGACTAAAATTTCAAAAATCTTCTTCTCAAGGCCGAGATATGGTAGAATCAAATACTCTTCATAGATGGAAGGGTCTTAAAGTACTTTACTGAAATTGTGAATTTCTTGACCCTGGGGTCTCACGTTTCCCCCTGGGGAGGGGGTAAACTTTACTATAGTTTATAAAGGGAAATCACATTTTGGACCAACATTTGTTTAATTTCCAATGGAAGTGATTTAATTTGGGTTAGCATTATCAGTATTAGGTGGCAGTTTGATAGTATGCACCTATGAGCCCTGACTGACCCCCCAGGGCTGATGGGTGGGGCCAAAAAGAGTTGAATTGACTGAAATTTCAAAAATCTTCTTCTCAAGACGGAGATATGGTAGAATCAAATACTCTTCATAGATGGAAGGGTCTTAAAGTACTTTACGGAAATTGTGAATTTCTTGACGTTGGGGTCTCACGTTTCCCCCTGGGGAGGGGGTAAACTTTACTATAGTTTATAAAGGGAAATCACATTTTGGATTAACATTTGTTTAATTTCCATTGGAAGTGATTTAATTTGGGTTAGCATTATCAGTATTAGGTAGCAGTTTGATAGTATGCACCTATGAGCCCTGACTGACCCCCAGGGGCTGATGGGTGGGGCCAAAAAGAGTTGAATTGACTGAAATTTCAAAAATCTTCTTCTCAAGACCGTGATATGGTAGAATCAAATTCACTTCATAGATGGAAGGGTCTTAAGGAGCTTTACCGAAATTGTGAATTTCTTGACCCTGGGGTCTCGCGTATCCCCCTGGGGAGGAGGTAAACTTTACAATAGTTTATATAGGGAAATCACATTTTGGACAAACATTTGTTTAATTTCCATTGGAAGTAATTCAATTTGGGTTAGCATTATCAGTATTAGGTAGCAGTTTGATAGTATGCACCTATGAGCCCTGACTGACCCCCAGGGGCTGATGGGTGGGGCCAAAAAGGGTTGAATTGACTGAAATTTCAAAAATCTTCTTCTCAAGACCCAGATATGGTAGAATCAAATACTCTTCATAGATGGAAGGGTCTTAAGGTTTATGACCCTAGGGTCTCACGTTTACCCCCTGGGGAAGGGGTGGGGGGGGGGGCAAAATTTATTATGGTTTATAATGGCAAATGATTATTTGAATATTACATGTTAATAACTTGATTGGAATTATAACCTTGAGTTGACAGTTTGATACTTTGAAAATTTTGAGCCAGCCCTACCCCCAAGGGCTGTAGGGTGGGGCTCAAGGGAGTCAGTGTGCTAAAATTTCTTCATTTTCCTTGTTTAGAATCAGAGGTGCTAGTTTCAAATCCTTTTTAGTCTGAAATCTGTATGCTTGATATTGAATAAGGTGGTTTTATTGTTTTTTGTCACTTTGAATAATATTTCTGTTCATGTTAAAAACGAAATCAACTCTCTGTATAAATATATCAGGTGACCGTTAAGGCCCGTGGGCCTCTTGTGTGAAACAAACCATCGACAAAACTATAATGTGTGTGATTTAATCTATTTCCAAACACCGTATATTCCTTTTGATGTCAATGAATCGTCATAACCACATACTTGCTATTTCATGAAAACATTACGGTTATTAAGTTTATCGTCATGGCTCATTTTTGTGTCGCCTACGACGGTGGTCGGAAACACACATAGGCGCTGCTTTTCAGACGGCGGCGTCAACAATGTTTAGGTTTTGCGTTTAGCTGTTTCTGACAAAGCTTCACCAACAAAACCTCGATCATAGATGAAGCATGGGTAGTGGAGCCTACTGCACTAAAAAACATTTCATTGATTTCTGCAATTTTTTTTTGTAAAAACCTCAAATTTCTGGACTTAGAAAAAAACTCAATGTTAAGGTTTTGCGTTTAGCTCTTACATATGAGGCTGTTTCTGTGTCATATATTAATTTTTCTGTGGGGTATATTTTCATTATCACATTATTGACCTGTAAAATTGTGACAATATCACCCTGGCGGAAATATCCTACTATACTACAGTAACTAAGATTGTTTTGATATTTCTGAAGTGTAAAAATGTTCAATTCAGTGTCTTGGTTTTCAGGTACTTTACAAGGTTTATTTACTCAAATCATGGGAGAAGATGACACAGTGAGAGAGAAAGCTATCAAATTCCTTGGTGCCAAAGTGAAGAATCTGCCTGAAGAAAACCTGGACAAAGAAACAGAAGAATATCTCGTGACCGAGTGTAAAAAGGTTAAATTCACACAGCAATGGCTGGGTCTCTGATATTTTAAATTGTCACACTTCACTGGAATTGTATGGAATTTTTTTGTTAGGATTTTCGGTATTGCAATGTATTTGTCAACAACAGCCATGATGCGTTTGCAAGTTTCTTTGATTACATAGGTTTTGCAAGTATGTCTCTCATTTTAAAAGTTTTTATACTGATACCATAAACTTATGTTGCCTGTCTCCATTTATATTTATATTCTGTTCCGCTTTGCTTCAGTAAATATTAAAGCCAAACAGGTATTGCGTAAAGCCTTTAGAATGCCCCCGCCATAAAATGGGGGGGGGGGGGCATATATAGTGTTACCCATGTCCGTCCTGTCCCGTCCCAATTCAATGTAAACACTTAGCAACTTCATTCTTTCATGTATTTTGGTCAAACATTATACAAAGGTCAAGTATGAGTATACTTCGGATATCGTTGTTTTTCAGGGATCCAAGGCTAAGGTCACACTTGCTATTTATAGAAAATCGTCCCTTCCCGTCCCAATTCAATGTAAACACTTAGAAACTACATTCTTTGATCAAAGTGGTTGTAACTTCTTATATTACACTGAAACTAATTTCACCTGGCAGCGGGGGCACATATGTCCTAAAGACATTTTCTAGTTGTTAATAACAAATTGTAAATAGTCAGATACCACTGGACAGTGATACCAGTCATTGGTCAAGTAGATATTAATTGTTATGGACAAAAATATGTGTCAATAATTCTACTGAGTTTTAATTGTAAAAGAAACACTAAAAACTAAAAAACTTTTGATTATAAAACATGCTAATGTTTATTTAAAAGATTTTTATATCAGTATTCTTCACATTCCCTCTACCGGTCTAGATTATTGGACAAGTGCCAATCTTTATTGGGGCCGCGGTGGTTAAGTGGTTAAGCCGTCTGGCATTCTGCTATCACTAGCCCTCCACCACTGGGTCACAGGTTCGAGACCTACGTGGGGCAGTCCCCAGGTACTGGCCGGATGTCATTTGTTTTTCTCCTGGAACTCCAGCTTTCCTCCACTGCCATAACCTGTCTTTAAATGACCATAGCTGTTAATAGGACGTAAAACACAAACAAAACAAACGAAACCAACCAATCTTTATCTGGTTTTAACGTGTACTATTTAAGTGCTCATAGATTATGACAAAAGTACAAGTTGATCACTGTTTATACTTTTCTTTATTAAGGTGTTACAAGATGTTACCAAGGACGAGTTTATCTGTATGATGGACATCCTAAAGGGCCAGAAATCCATGAACACCGTACAGGGAAGACAACAGCTGGTAGAAATCGTGACGGAACAGGCTGAACTGGATCAAGATTTTGTGGTATGCAGACCAATTACTGTACAGTGTCACTGTATCGTCTTACACTCCCCATAATTAGGGCAATCATTAGGTCACATAAAAAATAGTGTGTATCAATATCACAATGACTGTCTTTTACTTTGGATTGGATTTCATTCAGAATATCCCTTGACAATGAAAGAAGACTAGATCCATGTTGAGGTTTCTGAGACAATAATTGGTCCCATTCCCAATTGAAAGTATTTCATATTTGTGCCTAATTTCCAAAATTTGCAAGTCTAATCCTAAAAATTTCCTCCCCAATTGGTATACTTTCCTCCTAAAATGAGAGAGAAAAAGGCTCTTCGCAAATTACAAGAAGAAACACTGACTTACCTCTTTATTCAAGATATTTTCCTTTTTCAGAAAGTATAACTATAAAATGCATAATACTGCTAAGTTGTACTAGTATTGTATATTAGTATTCAGCCCACATAAGGGATTCTTGGTATGGCAAGGCTGTAGCCTGTTTTATTTATTTTTGTGTGAATATGTTTATGTACTTAATTTTGTACCCATTTATTGAAATTTTTGCTGGTATTAAAAACAAATGATTTTTCAGATTTTTTTCTTTTCTGAACAGCTTTGAATGATTTTTACCACTCCAAAACAAATAAACAAAGCTTTGTATATTTTATCGAACCTTTATGTTGTGTTTTGCAGGCTAAAGAACCAGACTGTGTTGACAAACTGATGCATTGTATTAAACAGGCACTTCCACTGTTCTCTGTAAGTAGTCATGTCTCCCAAGGGAAGCGGAGGAGATCTAGTGACCTTCCACTGTTTCTTAGAGTTGTTATTGAGGTAAAAAAAAACTGATAGTTTGAAAGACATTTTCAACAGTCCTTGTTAAAGTTAGAACTTGTTGTTTATTGTCTTCCAAGGATTTGTTTGTCAAAATATGCTTTAGCCAATTATCTGAGATGATCGTTAAGTGGAAAATAAAGATTTTTCAGATATTGAGAAAGTGATTTTCTTTGGAATTTTCTTTGTAAAATCCCATCTTATGTGGCATTGTTATGTGTTCAGGTGAATTTTAAAATATGTGTAGTTGATAAACAATTCACTGAGTTTTCAATTTTCAGTCAGTAAATTATAACAGATAACACTGTAGAACAGGAAATTTTCTGTGCAGTTTAATTTTCGCCTTTTTCGTCCTCCGTTATGAGGGCCAATTTATCGTTGCAGCGAATATAAGTAAACAACAGAATTATACATACCGTAAAAACTCATGTAATTTGCGCACCTGTGTAATTTGCGCAGGTACTTTTCGAGGCTGAAAATCGGGGAAAAAAGCTTCTACTCGAATATTTTGCGCACCCAAAAAATCTGGAAAAAAACGATGTTCATGCTCCGAAAATCGATCTCTGAATATTTTTTTTTTAAATATATTTCTATGATTTTTTTTTCATTGATGTAAAATGATATTTAAAACCAAGAAGAAACTACGTAAAATGTGTATTTTGTTGCTTGTTTTCTTTGAATTATCTGATCACACATGACACACACGTGTGCGCATATCGGCATACATCAATTCATTTTAGCAATATTTTACATAAAACATTTACTTGCTTACAAAAACATATCAATTAATAAGTAATTCGATGTTTAGTAACCGCTGGTGCATATCTCCTGGTTAAAGACATAATTAGATACCTTTTATTGATCATAATTACGATCAGTGAGAAGGGCTCATCATGGCGGCTTGGGTTACGTCACTTCAAACCAGGTCATGTCACAGTTCAGTTTGGCCACGGAATTAGATTATCTAAGTCCGTGGTTTGGCGATATTTTTTTACAAATTACAATGCAGTAATGAGCTAACACTATCTCTGTGATTACCCGTTAACAATAGCTCTACTAATTGAAATGATTTGCAGTCGCGATCGACGGACCGTGTTGTTGTTTTTTTCACTCGCCAACACGTGGCGTGAATTACGAAGCCCTACTGCATTGTCATAACTACAGACTGATTTGACTGATAAGGGATTATAAAAAATATGTTTATACTAGAAGCGTGGACAATCAATACATCCTCTTCAAATCTACTCCAAGGAAAAAAATAGTTAACGCAGACTATTTTTACGATGCTTCATTTAATAAATATTGAAATAATTCACGAGGTTATTATCAATCACGTGTTTACGTAATGTTAGACGCGAGATCAACATGAAAGTGAGCCGGAAAAAAAACATGCTATACGTATATGCATAGGCGATTTGAAAAAACCTTACATAAATTACATGGAACGGAGCTTAAATTGAACAACTACATTTTCGTAATAGTATGGGGAAACACAACGAGATGTCGAAACGTAATGTCGTAAGTTGATCGGCGATTCTCTAGCATAGGAATTTAGCTAAACTTTTTTTGTTAACGGTTACCTATTTAATAATACTTTTCACATAAACTCACATAACAACACATTATGTATCTTTTATTAATGTTTGACTTAAATAAATTTGTTGTACGTCATTTGTCTTAGAGTTCCGTGTACCAAGGGAAATAAACCAAGATGGCGATCTCCCAGAATCGTCGATCTTTTCCTGAAAAAAACTTGAAATTTTCTATACCTGTGTATTTTACGCACCCCCCACTTTGGGTATTAAATTTCTGGAAAAAAAGTGCGCAAATTACATGGGTTTTTACAGTAGTTGTTTAATGTGAAGGGCGAAATTAACACTGGGTGAAAACTGATTTCATGGACGAAAGTTTGACTGGGCTAAAATTTCACCATAGACATCACCAAAACCATTTAGACAGTGTCATGCAAACATAAAATTGATTGGCTATTTGGGAGTATGAAGTTTAAGCAATTTGAGACCAAAACACGGCATAACAAGTATATGAGAAATATCTGGGTGATCTTTGGATAAAAGCTTGTGTATCATACATATTTTATGAAAACACCATCATATAAAAATTACCCCATTCTAACACAACTGCACATCTCTTTTTATCTTTCTTGTTCATTGCTTCTTATTTTTATATTTTGATTTTTCAGAAAAATGTTCATTCGAAGGCCTATGTGGGCTACATTTGTGACAATGTACTACCATCAGTGGAAGATCTGGCTAGTCCAGAGGAAGGCGTGGATGCTCAGCTAGAAATGTTGAAACTGTTTTCAGAGATTTCCGAGTTTTCTGGGGATCTTGACAATTTAGAAGACCGAGTGACACATGTATACAATTGTTTAATTGTAAGTTTGTATTTTCTGCGGAAATTTCCCTGTTAAATGTACTATTCTGGTATTTTACATTATGTGTTGGGGTTATTTGAATTATATCTTTTTAAAGTGGTGGAAAAATTTGATTTGGCACTGATCCATGTTATTTTTATGCTTTGATGAAATTTGTTGTTTAGTGCAAGAATTTTAGATTTTTTTAAATTTGAAAGGTTGATATTCATTTATTGTTTTTATTATATCCTTTATGAGTATAATTGTTTATTGCACAAGATTGAAAAATATTGAAAATTAAAAAATAATAATAGTCGTTTAAAAATCACATGAAAAATATTGAAAGTTAAAATATATTAGACATTTAAAAATAATATGACAATTAACTGAAAATTGACCTGCCAATGATATTTAAAGCTCTAGATGAATTTAAAATAAAATGAACACTGTTGTTTTGAAAGTATATCATAAAGAAAATAACTTTGAGTTATTCCTCTTACAGAATTACATGCCGGTACCTCCAGCGGAGGAAAATGATGTACTTTCAGCAAATGAGCGACCGAAATTCCACTTCTCTTTTGTGGAGTGTTTGATGTTCGCTTTTCATCAAATGGCAAGAAAGTTACCTGGCTTTTTGACAGATGAAGCAAATGCTGACAGGCTAAAGGATTTTAGATTAAGGTGTTTATTTAGTCAAGCTTGCAATATACGGCTTAAAATTTGTGCATTAATGGTAGTAGGGTTATTAGACAACAATCTGAAACCACTATCAACCAAACACATTTGCCATTAAAGTTAAATGCTGATCTCAATGAAAAAAAAGACATACAAAGACAACTTTTTGACTAAAATTTCTTTATTCAGGTTCGGTTCAAATATTATAGAGTCTGTGATTTGAATTACTAAAATTCAGTTAACTTGGTTCATCTTGCTGCGAAGACCGATATTTTAACGTTTTTCCTTCACAAACAAGTTGATGTCAGGAGTTGAACTTAACCTAAACATTCATTTGAAAATCCACTAGCATTTGCACAATGGTTAAACTTTCTCACAAATAAGCCTTTTTAGTTTGTGTGAGATTTCCACAATGGTTAAATTTTCTCACAAATAAGTCTTTTCTAGTTTGTGTGAGATTTGCACAATGGTTAAACTTTCTCACAAATAAGTCTTTGTAGTTCGTGTGAGACTTGTACACTTACACAAAACTAAACTAAAGTCATCATTTCTCAAAGCATTAAGGGATAATTGGTGATGTACATTTAATGATAAATTGATACATGTATGTTAATGGAAGCATTTGATTTTTCACAGATTACAGTATTTTGCCAGAGGTGTCCAGGTATACATCAAACAACTAAGACAAGCACTACAGGGGAAAACAGGGGAGGTGTTAAAGACGGACGAGGTTAGTATTTATATCTCCCACCCTGTACAGATTTCAGAGGTATCTCCATAGTCGATAATGTGACATCTCTGTCAATCCCTAAGGTGTAGACAAACTACACAGGTTAGAAACGTCATCCAGAAAACAATGGACACATATCAAATTATATAATCATACAATGTTATATGGTTGGCAAAGGAAGCATTCGTATCTTTCTGATACATCCTGGGGTTTTTCGTTATTAGAAACATGAAACATATTCAATAGATATTTTGAAGGTATTGTAATGCAATTTCAACTCTCGTTGTGAGATTTGTTATTGAAAATCTTGAGGAACCTATAACACTCTGGTTATGACAGTCAACAATTTTCTCCTCAGACAGAGCTTTCTTTGTGCCACCTTTATGGTGGGGATATTTTTCTTCTCAATATACAGATACAATACATAGAGATACGATGATGTCCATTATAAAGTGCATGTTTGTACATAAAAAAATGTAAAACATTGACATGTAAAACTTTTTATTTGACAAACATTCATATCTCTACAGTTATATCCATGATCAGGAAACAATGATATTCTTTCATACAACCAAGATTAAAAAAAAATGTTGCCAGTTGTTTTGAAATTTTTATATTTTCTCTTTGCAATTGACTATTCCAGAACAAAATCAAGGTTGTAGCTTTAAAGATCACCTCTAATATCAACACATTGATCAAAGATCTGTTCCACAACCCCCCATCATACAAGGCCATCCTCACCCTCTCCTGGAAACCTCTTGTGGTAAGTATGGGTATAGGCTTGTTTATGTACACAAACTTATTGTTTGTAGCTTGTATGTATACATATATAATGTAAGTGTGGTTATTAACACATTCACCCCTTAAGTCACATTTGAACCTTACCAAATCAAATAATGGATTAGTCCAGTTTAAATATGAAGGGGTGAATGAGTTAAACTAGTGTCCATACAAATTGCAAGTATGGGTAAATAATCTACATACGAACTGTAAATGTGTGTACATAGTCTTTCAAAAGTCTGTAAAACTTTTATGTCAACAATGTCAAACTAAAACAAAAGATTAAGAGTATATGAAATGTGAATTCTGGTTTTACAGAGACAGCCTCAGGCAGCAGCAGCACAACCAACGGACACAAGTCCCACCACTGCAGGGTATGTACCAGTTCTCTCCTCTACATGCTTGTTTCCGAATATTGTACTGTTCCATTTAGGGTTTTATTCCTGTGCATAGGACCAAGGTGAGCTTATGTCATACTGTTGTGTCTGTTATCTGTCCGTCAACAATTTATTCAAATGACTTCTTCTTTATAACTGCTGATTGGAATTCAACCATTTTAAACTGGAAGCATCCCTAGGTGGTGGGGGTTCAGAATTTACAAATGGAGGGGCTGAGGGGCAGGCCTAGGCCGAAAGGGGGTAATTTGGCCATATAGCTTTAAGCAACTTCTCTAGAACTAAGAGATCGATATCAACCACATTTGGCAGAAAGCATTTAAGGTGGTGGGGATTCAAAATTGTAAGAATGGAGGGGCTGATGCTCATAGGGACAGAGAAGTGGGCCCAAAATGGGTTATTTGACCATATTGATTTATGTGACTTCTTCTCTGAGTAACTATTTTTTACTTTTAAATGATTAAGATCAATATCAAAGAGTATAGAGACAAATGCACTTGAACATAGTCTAACAGAATGGCCCCATAACCATTATAAAATTGCTAGGCACAATGCGACAGGTACAATAATGATATTAGATTTGACTCTGGGGTCAGGCCACACCCTTAGTGACTTGTTCCTTGGTCATAACTTTGAAACTGTCGAGATCCCCACCCGTTTAGCCATATATATACAATTGCTGCACATAAAGAAACAAATACAGTCATACTCTATCCCCAAGATTTTATTTGCCATGCTTCTTTCATTGAGAATCTTTTGCCACGATAGCTTAAATACCCAGGTGAGCAATACAGGCCCTCTGGCTATTACTTAGTTTTCTTATACATTCTGGTTTGTTTCCTTTCAGACAAAAGAGAATCACACCCATCACATTTGGTACTGGAGACAAAACTGCAAAAAAAATGTCAAAACAGGACAGATCATTATACTCGCCTCCGAGTGGAAAGTTCAGTCAGCGGGCAGGAGCATTCAAGGAAATGACAGGAAACACACAGGGCTTTGGTAAAATATTCTACTTAAACTTACCAAAAATAATGTAATGGATGTGAAAATGTGTCAAAATGATTTCCCGTCAAAGATCATTTTTAGAAAAGTATAAATGGTAAAGATGTTACCATCAGTATGATAATAATACCACCCAACTGTAATATAATTGTACTGGACGCAGGCATTAAGCTTTTGTATCCAGATAATGGGTACTGTCAGCCTCTAGGCTGATGCCCTATATATATGAAAAACAACTCTCTCACAAATCAGTTGCGAGTGTCCATATATATTTTTCTTGTCACATCTTCAGGAGGACAAGGACGAGGACGAGGACGAGGAGGGAGACGTGGCAGAGGCGGAGGCGGAGGAGGGTACAGGCAGTACTGACAGGGAAGTACTAAGGGGAGACAACCATCAACGAGAAAAGGAAATTGTGGGATTTGGAAACTGTAATATTTATCTTAGCCTTCATTTATATTCACGAACCAGTACTAGTAAGTAAGGTAAGTATGTGTAGTATGTTTGGAAAAGGTGTTCGAATGATGACCAGACTGAAAAATTTATGTTTCCTGTCAATATGGATCTGTTACAGAAAATTTTCATTGAACAGATATTATTTCATGATGGTTCAATTAAAATTTGTGTTGACGCAAAAGAAATTTGATAGATTTTGAAGAAGATGCAGGAACCATAATTATTTTCATCCTTGGCTTCATAAACTGACTAGGTTAGAGAGAGGCATGAAATGACAAGAAAGCTCAAGATATTTGGAGGTAAGTTATCTAGGCCTTTTTTAAAAAAAATCTATAGTTCCAAGGCTTTTACTTACATTTAAAATTTTGTGTTGACTGCTTTGATGATATTCTGAATCCAAAAACACCTAATTTCTGTTTAAATAGAAAAACTGAAGTAGATATAGTGTCAGATGGAAAGATCATTTGGTAATTGTATTTTTTAACCTAGGTTTTAGACTACGTATAGAGTGTTCGATGGGTACTGTAAAGTGTAAATAAAGGTGAGTCTTGTATGCTAGAACGAGTGAGCGTTAGTTGTCGTGTCTGTGGACTAAATTTTGCGGAGCATATTTTATCTCATACCATGACTTCACAGGTTTGTTTCATTCAAGTTGCAAAATCATTGAAAGTTCCATGCGCAGATGCTTTGAGGTCAAATGTAAGTATTGTTGGCAGCTATGAAGCATGGTCTCTTGACAAAGAGTGAATTTTCATTAAAGTACACAGTTCAATCACAAAACACACGTTTCCAAATCCCACATTTTCTCGTCTGATGGTTCCAGTAAATGTTTTAATCAAGGAGCCAACATCAGCAGCCAGCTTCTGTGCCGAGGGAACGAGGATCATTACTCATAGAGTAACACTACGAAAGAGAAGCACTTGGAAGTCGGCTTTGCTTCCCAACAGGGGAGCGTAACTTATGGAGTTTTTCCAGGTTTCATTTTTAGAATTCATAAAACATATTCTGGATAGTGAAGAGTATGGATTTACTTCCTGTTGTGGTTTAGAATATGATTTTCTAGATATGTTAGGAATATGAATTTCTTCATATTATTTGCTCCAGATGTGGATATTTATGACATGCATCACTGAAGGTGATTTTTAAAGAATTTGTACGTTTTAAGAATTAGGATATCAAATTATCAGTTTTCCTTCCAATGTGAAGACATTTTTTTTTCATGTATAAATCAATGTTTCATAACTATTGAGAGAAATTACTGTGGATGATCAACATCACATATACACAGTTCAGTTGTTAACTTCTTGATAAGGTTTTCTTTTCCACAAAATATTCATTTTAAGATGTCTTTGTCATCGTTTTATATAATACTAAAATCATCTTATGTCATTGAAATATATCGAGCAAGAATTTGCTGTACTTTGTCCCTAGTTACAGCTTTAAAAGACAATTTTATAAAATCTTTTTTTCTTCTACTTTCTGCTACACTGACTTGGAGTACTAAGTACAAAGTTCTGTCATGTGTTGTTTTATGGTATAAGCTGAACGATCAGTGTAGCCATTGTTCAATCGATAACTTGCTCATCATTTTAATTCCGTCAGATTGTATCTTGTATTATGATAAGTTTGAAGGATAGCTATAGATACATACATGTCTTTTGTCAAGTTAACGTCTCAGAATTGAATTTCTGTTTCCTGCTGTAGTCAAGATGACATGTATTTTGAAAATAAAAGTGATTTTAAGTACATCTGTGTTTATATACGAGATCTCCCAATCTTTCTTTAGGTACATAGTTACCTACAGTTCAGTGTTACGAAAGAGCTTTATAAATGCCTTATAATGTGTAACTAAAGAGCTTTATAAATGCCTTATAATGTGTAACTAAAGAGCTTTATAAATGTCTAACTAAATTATTCATTTAAAATAACTACTGAAGTACAGAAAATGTTCATCCAGTAAAAATGTTACCCTTTGCTGGTAAAATCAAAGTTTGCTCAGTTTTTATTTCAACCTTCACATTTAATTACTATGTATATCATATTGCTAAATAATGTTAGCTGTCAAGATAAAATCACCCTTATTACGAAAGGAAAAAATTAAACTGCAGAGAAAAATTTCCGGTAAACAGTATTGAATTTTATATTATTTATATCCAGACAGCTCGTTAAAAGTATTGACTGTCCATATCAAATTATGTGTTATTTTCTTGTTTGTGAAATGAAATGCACAGAGCAGTATACAAAAGGACCTGTACCATTGGGAAGTCACCACTATTATTTAAAAATATATATTTTCATTGCCTTTAGAAAAAAGATTGTGTTGCAGTATGTCTCAGGGCGATACTAAAACCATCAAAAGTGAAAACTGGAAACAAATTAGATAATTTCTGTACTTGAACTTTCATTATTTACATGTAGGTATTTGACCTTAAGAATGTAACTTTCAGGTTTTCTCATAACAAGGTCTGATATAGATGATTGATAAAGTCGAGATGTTGCAAACAAACAAATTAATAAGTGCCCAGGTCAAGAGTGTATGCTTGATTTGGTTTTGTTGGTCTGTGTTTAACATCCTATTAATGAGCAAAGTCATCTAAGGTCAAGACAGCATTTGGTGAGGGAGGAAAATCAGAATATCCAGTCCAATCTTGTTGACTGCCCCACATTGGTGTCAAACCCACGACCCAGTGGTGGAGAGCTAGTGATCATAGACTGTCGGACACCTTGACTACCTTCGGCCAATGCGGCCCATGTTTAGTCTAGATTTCACCCTACCCTTAAAATAATACAGATATTCTAAGTGCAGTGTCATCATGGCCATCTTTCCTTGCATGTATTTTACAATATTTTTCCAGATAAAGTTGTGTAATGTAAGCCTCGATCATATTTGTTCCCTACCATGAATCTCTCAAGAACTAAACAAATTAAAGCGTTAAAAAATAATTGTCCAGGGATACATAAATAAAATTAATACAACACCTGTTTTATATATATAAATTGTTTATTATTTCAAATGATATAATAAATACATGATCATGGACGGAAATAGCTTTTACTGTGTTGTCAGCACTAGATCTATAGTTAATTTACAATGATGTATAGTTAATGACTTACACATACAAAATACTGTATACGGGAAAACTTTCGCCTTATCAAATATTTGCCTTTTGCCAATAAAGTCCATCTTCGCTGAGTGTAAATTTCGCCGTTTACATGCAAGACCTAGATATAGTGCGTGTTGTGTACTAATATTAACTGTTATGATAAATTTGCCCTTACCAGGTATTTGTGAGGGCGATAAAGACGAAAGTTAAACTGCAGCAAATATTTTCCGGTATACAGTAAATCTTTTAACTCATTTATCCCTCAAGACGCATTTGAACTCTTCCAATTCAAAGGTTGGAAAAGTTCATTATGAAATTTCAGGGGTGAATGAGTTCAAATTTTGCTATTACAAAGTTTTTGAAGTGTACCGGGCATTATAAATGTTATGTTGGCTTGCTTACTCAATGATAAGCTTACTCAATGATAAACCACACAACTAGACATCAACATGATCAAAAAACAAAAAATATCACAACTTAGGGGATATGTTTTCATGACATTGATCATCTTCATCAGACAGAAATAATGTTGCATAACAAAACTGTTTTCCATTTTTCAGTAATTGTAGAGTACAGCCTTGTGATGATCATATTTCCTAAAACAGAATAATAACACTGTCCTGCCTCAACAAAGAAATGATTTATATCACTGTGCTTAATATCGCACTTTCTTGAAACATCCTCCTGTCCTGTCCTGTAATATAATCTATGTAATATAATTCTGTTAATGTTTCTTTGCTTTGAGATGACTTCTGCTTTAGTTCACCTCATTCAGAACATTTTTTTTATTAAAAAACTAAAAATGTCTTAAGACATGAATACCCTTACTCCTGTGAAAGTCAGTTTGATAAATTACAATAATAATATTAAATGGTGACCTTGCCCTTGACCTTTGAACCCTAAAATATGAACCCATTGAAGTCTTCTTGCTTTTGACCTCTGTATAACATTTTTGTTTAAATCCATGATATAATGAAACTGCTGAATCAGAATCGGACAGACTTCAGTAAAACTTCAAACAACCAATATATAATGGTAGAGGCGTAAAAAACTAGCAGATCATTAATATATAATGGTAGAGGCGTAAAAAACTTGCAGATCATTATGTTGCATATAGAAAATATTGTGTAATTAAAATATTTCAAAACAAACATGGAATGTTTCACACCCACTAATCACAGAAATATTTAAGTACAGTTGCTTACATACCACTGAGGGCCTTAGCATTTGGTTCACTACATTGGTAAAATATTCTGTATTTCCTCATGTTTCTGGCAATTGAACATGGAGCATGATACTCTCAAATTGAAAATAAAATTCCTAGTATCACATTCCAACTTTGACTAAGGTGCCTGTATCTTGCATATATACCATATATATATGAAGGAAATATACCACCACACCATATAATTCTCAAATCTCAAACAAGTATATTTTCTGTCCTAGTTCTATGTCAGTCATATTTACTACATGTACTTTAAAACTTTTTCTAATTTTTTTTCAACAAATTCAAGAAGTTCTACAGCAGCCATTGAATTGTATTTGGTTATATTTTATTCAATATAGAATTGTAAACAAAATTTGTAATTACATCAAATTTTATTGTGATGATGATCATCACTTAACAAAAAATTCTTTCAACATCCTGCTTTACAGATATTGACGTATTTTTGAAAATGAAAGTAACACAAATGTACAACCATACATAAAGCTGGTAAAGTTATTTGCAACTACATAGAGAAATTTCGTTGTTATTGGTGACATAAAAGCACACCTAGAAGTATTTTTTGCTTAATGAAATGGCATCAGCTACGTAAATAGGTATACAATTTGATGATCCCAGTGTAATTGTGCCGTACAACGTAGAAGGCTCAAAAGCTGGTTAATTTCTTCCTAACATGTTTTTAAAAATGTCATTTGAACTCTTGACCTTTCACATCAGACATAATCAGACTTTAATAGCACAGCTAACAATATCAAATAAAAGTTTTAAACTAAATTAATATATATACAACCTAGCATTGATATGTCATATTTCCTACCATACCGTAAAAATTTCACAACATCCTTTCAAAACTTGCTCATTCCACACCATCACATAGAAAATAAAGCCTCCGACATTCATTCCATCAAACGTGTAGATCTGCATTTGGTTGTTTTCCTTCCAGTACAGTTTCTAATCATAATAAATATTCTATTTCTGTACATGCTTAGCCAAGTAAAAATACATGCATTGAAGTACCAATTATCAAGAAATTCAGAATTTTCTACAATCCATTTCACTTTCAAAATTTTACAGAATATCATTTTTTCTTATAAAAATTCACGAATGAAAATAAATATGGAAGTATGCATACAACCTAATAAATAACATTTTGTACAAAACCATATTAATTTTGTAAATTCATTCATACACATTACAAAATTGTTAATCATACATTTAAACCTATTTACTCCAATAAACATCCCTTCTTATATAAATGAACATTAATCTTATTCTAATTATGTTAAAAGCTTTAATTTTCCATAGCATATATAAAATAACAGCTGCATTTAGAGGAGTTTCTGATAATTTAACATCTACAAATATGTCACTTTCTTTAAAACTACTGAATTTTAGCTCACTGCAAATATCCATCATATATACAATTTTGACAAAACTAAGGGTTGTTTATTGGATTAAATACTGTAAAATCAGATATTTTCGTGAGGCCCAAGTTTCGCAGTTTCCTGACAAAACACCATTCCTTGGGTACATGAATTTGTTGATTACAGGTACCCACTCAAACGGAGAATTGCTTTACGTCAAACTTATCATTACTTCTACTTAGACCTATAAAATTGTGGATAAAGATTACCCAGGAAAAGCAAAATTAAAGACCCCTTGAAAGTTAGTGATTTTACAGTACTGTACTTTAACTGAAATCAATGCTATGACAAAAGTTTGACTATACAGAGTAGAGCTGTCAGTAACACACTGCTGCTGACCGTTCGCTGACCGGCAGACTGAAGGAAAGGGTAGAAGAAATCATATGGCAGTTTGGCCAGGAATATGGGTGGTTCCCCAACATAGCCGGTGCTAGGCTGCGATACATCAATGAAGGTGACCGATTGGCTGATCTCAACTGACTGAGTGAGGGCGGAGCTTCCAGGTGAACAAAACACACCAATACACTGTAAATAAAGAAAAGGTTAGACAATTGGATGAGAAATATTCTAGCAGAAGTTCTCCAAGTATCATCTGGTAAAATAGTTACAAATGTAGCGAAACTGGACTGGGTCGATTGCCAGCAAAAAGGTGTCTCAGTTGGTTAGAACGACTACGAGTTCAGAAGGTCCCAGGTTCGAACCCCGGTCTGGCCATTTTTCCAATCCTGTTACATTTGGCACCTAACAAAATACACTCCTGTTACATATAAATACCTAACTGAACACCAGGTCACAAATTATACATTAAAAGTTTTATCTAGACATGATATGTAAAATGTATTTCTATCAGTCCAGAGTTTAATATAATAATTAACAATACCTTTACCCAATTTCTTGTAAAAATCTAGGATTTCTCCTGAATCTGTCTTTCCTGCAAACAAACTCATCCCTATTACATGTTATAATTTAATGTCTTTTTGTCACAATATCGCTATATTTTAAAGGAAATACTTGTGTACTCCCGTCAGTTGTCACAAAACGGATATGCAGTGAACCAGATCCTCTGCCCAATATCTGATCCGGTTTAGTATTTCACACAGGGTCCTCTTTTGACCTCAATTTATTATCACCATTAGCGTGTAAACGTTACAAGACGGCACATCAACACATTGTGTGACACTGGTCGTAAGACATCTTCTTAACCCTTTCACCACTGCAGACCATAATGGACTAACACAGATAAATGTATGGTAGAGTGTACTAAAATTACCAAGGGGTGAAAGTCTCCAAGGGTTAATCATAAAACAGTTTCTGAGGTTAAGTATAACTAACTTATTTTTTTTAAATATAGCATGTGCCTTGGTAATAAATTGTGTCAAAATACTTGATTTTTAGCTCACCTGGCACGAAGTGCCAAGTGAGCTTATGCCGTGGCGCGGCGTCCGTCCGTCCGTCCGGCGTCCGGCGTCAATATTTTACTTTAAACGACTTCTTCTTAATAACCGAAAGGCCTAGGGTGTCGATATTTGGCCAGAAGCAAACTTAGATGAAGGGCTACAAAGTTTGTTAAAATTAATGACCTTCACCTATTTTCAAGGTCACAGGGGTCAAATATGTCAAAAACTTTAAACATCTTCTTCTCAATAACCAAAATGCC